TCCTTAAGTCCTTTTCTGTTTCTGGCTCTGATGCGCCTCCGAGAGGCCCCAGGTCTCCACTGGGGGTGGGGGGTGTGGAGAGGGGGCAGCAGGGCAGTGCTGCTGCACCCTCTGCTCCTGGCTGTTTCCAAGAGGGTCTGGACACACAGGAGGTGCCCAGGGATGTGTTGGCAGCAGAGCGTGGGCCTGGAGAGGCCATCATCGACTCCTTGCTGGACAGAGTGGCCGCCTGACGTGGCGGAAAGAGCCAGGCCTTGGATAGGAACAATCCTGGCTGAGGCCCTGGCTCAGCCACACCCCAGAGCCGATGGCCTCCCCTCACCCATGCATTTCCACGTGTGAACAGGACGGTGGGCGCGGCTCCTGCATTTCCTCACCCAGCTGGACTAGAAGCAGCTAGTTAGAAATTTTTTAATGCTTAAAATGTATTATTCATCGGGAGTGAAAATGGGTAACACTCCATAGTTCAATCACGCCAGGGTGGCGTTATGTATCATCGCTACTACAATCAGGCTCCTTCCTGGACCCCTTGACATCGTCTCCCTAGTACTGAGTCTCTCTAATAGGGGCCAGAGTCCTGGTGGCATAGTGGGTGAGGAGCTGGCCTGCTGACTGCGAGGTCAGCAGTTTGAAACCAGCTGCTCCACAGGAAAAAGATGAGGCTTTCTACTCTGGTCAAGAGTGACCGTCTCGGAAACCGACAGGGGCAGTTCTGCCCTGTCCTATAGGGTCAGTGTGGCCTCGGCGCAGTGAGGGGTTTTGGGTCCCCCTCCCCAGCTGCTGCGGCTGGTTCCTGTGAGGACAGATCCAAGCTGGAATGAACTCGCCCATCGGGCAGGGCTCGCCTCAGCAAAGCTGTACGTGTGGTGTGGTCCCTACACTTCCCAAACCAGGCTCGCTCTCTGCAGCGCCCACAGCATGTGCACACATGGGGGAAGGCTGGCGCCAGGCGCCAAGGGGCCCCGTGCCAATGATGAGCGAGCCCTGGTCACACGGAGTGCCTTTTGAGGGTCGGTTTGGTGAAACTGGACCTTTGGAGGTTGCTGTGATTATCAACAGCCACGATATGTGTCTCAGGAGCAGAATGTGGAAGGGGAAGGGGAGTAGGTGCCTACTCAGGCTTGAGCCCAAGGACACAGGTGCCTCACGCCGGGTTTCTTTGACACGGCTATTGGGCAGCTTGAATTTTGCATGCATGTACGGGAGAAAAGGCCCCAGCAGGGAACACTAGGGCCTTCATACATGGCCGTGCCCAACCTGTACCCCGTGAATAAGGAGTTAATGGTTGCTTAAGAGTGGAACAAAAATATCTTCTCTTAAGGACGCATGTGTATTTTCCAACCGGCTACTAGGTGGTTAGGACAGATATGTGCTATTGTTAATGAACCAAACTCCTGATGAAGCCCGAGCCTGATGGCGCAGAGGGTGGGCTGCTAACTGCAAGGTCAGCAGTTTGAAGCCACTAGCTGCTCCACGGGAGAAAGGGGAGGCTTTGAACTCCTGGAAAGCGTTAGTCTTGGAAACCCACAGGGGCAGTGCTATCCTGTCCTATAGGGTCTCCGTGAGTCGTGAACGTGAGGGACGTGCTGCATGCTGCTGTTACTATTATTCTCGGCCTGAGGCAGTGTGACAAAATTGCTATGACCTTGCGGGGCTGTGAACCAAACACGTTTGGACACTTCTGTTTTAATGTTTAAAGAAATGGATACACCCTCTGTAGTGTATCAGCAATGCTCAGGACAGTTCCCAGAGCATGTGGGGAAACTTCAGAACACAAGGGGCTCTTTAGACAGATGTCTGGGCCAGCCCAGGAGAGGGCAGGCATAGGCGGAAAGGGTGGCCAGCTCTCCCCGCCACCACCCTTCTCTTCCAGGTCCAGCTGCCCGGTCGGGCCTGCCTCTCCCATCTGGGTGTCCGGGTGAGAGGCTGGGCCGTGAAGGGTTGGTACTGAACTTAACACTATTCTCAGCCCTCACGAACGGTAGGTATTTACTGCTTACTGGGACCTAGGCCCCCCCACCTGACGGATGAGAACACTAAAACCTAGTCGAGTAAGTCGCTGGAGGTTACCGAGGGGCGATATCCGCTGTAATCAGCCTGGGTTTGGTTGGGGAGGCTGGGGAGGCCGGGGAGGCCCCACCCCACCCCCCCAGCCTCCTCGGGACCCTTCAGGAGGGAGCGGCCCGTCGCACACAGTCAGCACCATCGCCCAGAGCAGCTGCCTGGAACTTGCTTCCCCTCTTCCCCATTGGGTTTGCTCTGCAAGTTCTCTTGAAGTGCCCAGCTTGCTCTGACCTTGGGCAGCCTGACCTCTGCTCCTGGCTGCCTCCTTGGCCCTGCCCCCACCCTTAGCCAGGGACTGTGTTTCATCTAGTTTCCCCACCCAACTGCCCTGCCGGAGAAAGGAGGGGTGGTGTGGGCTGCCACCAAGGCACCCCGAGGAGTGCTCCTGGGTGGGGGGCTCTGGTGGGCAGAGCAACTGTGCGTTGTGGCTGGCGCTCTTCCAACTACCTTGGGGAGGTGAGATGGGCAGTATTTGTTGTCTTTACTATATTAAGGCTTGTTTACTTGTTGCCGGGGACTCGGAGCACCCCAGCAGGGCGACAGCTGGGAGCTGCGGTGACTAAGCTGCCCGGCATGGAGTGTTCATCTCTAGGACCCTTCACACTCTCGGGCTCAGGAGGGGACAGCTGAGCCTTCTCCAGTAACCGGGGTGGGGGCAGGGGTGAGGGCTGCAGCTGGGGAGGTCAGGCACTTGGCCTTGGCACCCAAGTGGACGAGGGTGACCCATGATGCAAGAACTCAGCACGTGCTCCTGTCGGTGGGGGGCGGGGAGGGGTGGGGCTGCCTTACTGGTCACACGATGACGTTGTGACATTTGGGGTGATGCCTTCAGACGGTCCCCCTCCTCGCCCTGTCACCAAGGTGACAACCAGGGAGAGCCTGGGTACAACCAGGGAGAGCAGGTTGGCCTCATCGTAGCTTGTCCCATCACCGCCTACAGCCACAGGTCCTAGACCGTGGTGGAGGTGCTACCCGCCCCCTCCCCCCCACCCCCCTGCTTGGAGCTGAGCCTGAAGGGCCTTCAGGGCTGTCAACCAAGGGGATGGCCACTAGAAACAGGATCTACACACACACACACACACACACACACACACACACACACAACACATCAATTAGACTCGTGGGCCATTCCAACCAAGTCTGTATTTTAGCTGGCTCCGCCCTGCCCAGAGCCCAGGAAACGGCCCACAGAAACGCCCCTGGTTTCTGAGGTCCTGAGTGAGAACCAGCTACGCAGCCGCGCGTCTCCAGTCCCCAGTTCTAACTGGTGAGCTGTCGGGGGCGGTTCAGTCCTCCTGCCCTGAGTCGGGTTCCTAGGACCATGAGTCTGCCTGTCTCCTCCTGCTTGCTGAAGAGCGGTACAAAGCATGCACTCTGGAGCCGCACGCACCTGGGCCTGTATCCTGGGTCACGGGTCCTGTGACTTCATGGCCTCTAAGCCCTGTGTCACGGGCGATGGGGAGGAGCTGGCTGCACGCGTTGTGCAGGCCCAAGGGGCTCAAATCAGTCACGGGTCCTCTGGCTCCAGGCTGGGCAGCTGATACCCCCATTCCCTCTCCTGGTCCGGCTGCTCAGGACTGCCAGCCCCCTTACAGATGAGGGGACAGACACATGCCCTCCTCAAACCAGATGGCTCTGAGTCCCGAAGGGAGGCCCTTCTCCTAGGAGGCCCCCCAGTAGGCGGAAGTGACTGCTCTTGGGATTGACTGACTGCTGGTCCACAGGGAGGGGGCCACACATGCGGGTCTTGAGGTTTTCGCTCAACATAAGTGGAGTGACGAGCCAACCCCCGTCCAGGTTTTGCCTCTCGGGGCCTGGCTTGTCGTGAGGCCCAGACTGTGTTCAGACACGGAGGGCTGCAGGCATATGCTCGCTCCTGGGCTTTCGGGCACATGCACACTCGGAGCAGGTGCAGCTCCCAAGCCAGAACATGTGACCGAGACCACCCGTCCAGTTCCAGCTGACCCAGGGCAGCGCGTGACAGCCACGCTCCGACAGGCCCGTGCTGCCCTGTTGCCACTGTGCTTGCAGGGGCAATGGGCACAGAGCGGGCCACCTGCCACCTTCCCTCTTTAGCCTCGGCATTCCTGTGTGTGTGTGTGTGTGTGTGTGTGTGTGCGCGTGCGTGTGCGCGCGCGCGCACATGTCAGGGGCAGGCAGACCTTTTTGACAACACTGTGTGTGCGCGTGCATGTTGGGACAGGCATACCTTTTTGACAGCACACTGTGTGTGTGTGTGCGTGTGTGCACACATGTTGGGAGCAGGCATACCTTTTTGACCGCACACTGGAAGCCCGTCCGCTTGTCTTCCATCCTGTGCACCTCCCCAAAGGAGCCTCTGCCCAGGCGGGGCTGGTGTCTGGCCCAGTGGACCTCCTCTCGGTATTCATAGTCCACCGGCTTGAGTTTCTGGGGTGGCAGGAAAGAGGCCAGAATCAGTGGTTGGGCAGCCGGAGGATGAAGGGCTCCCGGGAGGAAGGCTCCCTCACAAACAACGACACCACCGGTCGGAGTAGGGCTCCGAGGGGTGGAGCCCGCCGTGGCCCCGGAGGAGCAGGGTGAAGGTGGGGACAGTGTCCGGGACTGCCCACTGAAACTGACCCGGGCAGTGGACAAATGCTTTCACCCCAGGTTTGTGACCAGGGGCAGAGACGGACCAGTAAGCAGCCTTGACACTGAAGTCAGGTGCGGGAAAGAGAAGAGAAAAGAGGCCATGGCCAAGGATAACTGTCCAAAGTGGATGGAGTAAAACCTAGAAGTTCAAAACCATCGAAAGGTATAATGCTCGCCAGTAAGAGAACAAGAGGAAAAGGAAAGGGCCCCCCCTCAGGTGGTCACAAAGGTCGAAGCCCTCAACTTTTGTATCGGGGAGCCATCCACCCGATCTGTAGTGGATGGAGATAGGCTTATGCCCCTGTTCTGGAACGTCTGTCTCACACAACTGCAGCAACAATGCGGTAACAATGCAGAAAGAGCAACTCTGACAAGGGCGGGTGATCACTGCTCTTTACCAGCGACTTTGACAGAGAAAAAGCAGCAGCCCCGAGGGGCACTCGGGAGCCAGCCCGGCAGGTTCCCGGTGGTGTCTCTTCTTCGAAGCAGGTCCCACTCTGACTGCAAGCTGCTGGCCCAGGTCCCAGAGTTGGTGGTATTGGGTGGTGGTGGTGTGTGTGTCCATGAGAGAGAGACTAGGGGAGTAGGTACCTCATTAAGCAGAACACCCTCGCTGTCTTCCGTGTCGGGGCTGGGTCCCCGCAGACTGGGGCCTCCTGTTGCCCAGGTCTTGGCCAGGCTGGCTAGGCTGTGAGCCCGGCCGGAGCTGACACTGCCCTGCAGAGCGTGCACCAGATATTCTTCCACGGAAAACTTGTCGCTGGGGCCACGTGGCGGGCCGCTGGGCTCCCGGGGTGGGCCCGGCAAGGGCTTCTGGCTGTCTGCACAGGCCAGTTTGTTCAGGAAGGACTCCAGGGGGTGTGGTTTCCGGGGCTGGAGCGGGTGGAATGGGAAGGGATGGGGCAGTCTGTTGTAGGGGAAGGGGTGAGCGGGCTGTGGCAGGGGGCCGGCGTCCTGGGGGTGGTGCAGTTTCCACACATGGTTCAGACACTGCAGGGGGCTGATGAGCTTGTGGAGTTCCGACCGAGGGAGAGCTGGCCGTTGGCCCTCCCCGAGCTTCTTCACACACAGTGGGTCATGGCTTGGCTCCTTCAGAGGCTGGAGGAACTGGGGGGTGCTCCTCGCATATGAGGAGCCGAGTAGAGACTCATCTTCCTGCGGGGTAAACACGACGTCAGGAAGGCGGCCAGGGCCAGGGGCACAGGTCGCTCCTCAAAGGAGTCGTCTGCAGGCCCCTGAGTCGGGGGTCTGGGGGTGGAGGGGGTCTCACCTGCACGGGGACTGTGCAGCTCTCCTGCTCGGGGGTCCTGGGGCGGGGTTTGGCCAGTGCCACGCCCACCTGCGGCAAGGCCTTTGAGCTCTTCTTCTTCTTCCTTTTCCTCCCGGCTTTGCTGCGGTGCCGTTTCCCCTTCCCCTTCCGACACACAGGGGCCGGCTTGCCCTC